CAGCCTGGTCTACCAAGTGAGTTCCAGGAAAAGGCGCAAAGCTACACAGAGAAACCCTGTCTCGAAAAACCAAAAAATAAAATAAAATAAAATAAAATAAAATAAAATAAAATAAAATAAAATAAAATAAAATAAAATAAAATAAAATAAAATAAAATAAAATAAAAGCCGGGCTCAGCGCCGGGGCCTCCGTTCAGTGGGCGGAGCTAGGATGCATGCATGCATGCTCTGGGTCCATTGCCAACACCACGTAAGTCACATGTGGCAGCACACGCCTGTCGTTGCGCTCAGGAGGTGGAGACCGTAGGATCCTTGGTGAGTTAGTGAATTCAAGGCCAGCCTGGGCTACATGAGACTGTCTAAAACACAAGGAAAAGAAAAAGAAAACCCGGGGTTCAGCTTGGTGCAAGGTTTGTCCGGTGCTGGGGACCCATGTGACAAAGTCTACTCCGCGCATTCCTCCACTTCTCACCCGGCTCTCCTGGCTGAGCCCTGGCTCCACCCCAGGGCCACAAAGCCCTGCTCCCCTCTCCTCCTTCTCCAGGGCCCGAAGCCACCCTCACCCAGCACCGAAGCCACCCTCACCCAGCACCGCCACGGTCAGTTCTCCAGCATCCTTCAAATCCACCTGGCTGCCCACCCACTCTTCTGTCTTCATCAGGGCCTTTCTCAGACCCCGGACCTTGGCTCGCAAGAGACACTGGACAATTCCAGTGGGAAAGTCCAGGGTCCAACCTCCTACACTAATCCTTGAACCAGCTGCTGGAGTTTTCCATCAGAGACCGGCATGGGACCTTCCTACATCGCTGTGTCTGGTGCTCACACCCGCTTCTGGGGATGAAACCCAGGCCCCCAGCTCACATAAGCCCCCAGCCCCTCACTGGGGGATTCTAGGCGGGGCTCCACCCTGACCACGCCCCCAGTCCATCACTGGGGGATTCTAGGCGGGGCTCCACCCTGACCACGCCCCCAGCCCTCCTTTGGGGTTCTAGGATAGAGCTCTACCTTTGAGTGACACCTTCAGCCTTCTTTTTAACTTTTCAGACAAGCATCACCCACAAGTTTTCCAGGCTGCCCTTGAACTTTCACTCCTCCTTCCTCAGTTTCCCTGGAGGCCCAGCTTTCCATCCTCCTAGTCTGTCTGTCCCCTTCGCTGATGGGAGTTGGCCCTTGGTGCCAGTGGGGCGCTCCGTAATCCTGCAAAGGTGACCGGGCACACAGTCCGAGGGCTGGACGGGAAGGTCCCGCGGCAGGTGGACCGGCTCCCCCGGCATCCAGAGCAGAACAAAGGGCGTCCTCAGGGGTGCGGAGGCGGGCAGGCCGTGGGCCGCCCTCGGGGCCCGGCTCCAGCCCCTGGCAGCCTGTCCTCATGCCAGGGCACACCCAAGCCTCAGGGCTGGGCAGAGGTGGCAGCCGGAGAGGGCTCCCCACACTGTTCCACCTCTGACTCAGCCCCAGGGTGGGCCTCCTGGGGGAGGACAATGGTGGCCTGTGGGGCCCTGGAGAGCTTCCCTACAGGTGTGTGGCCGTGGGGCGCGGGACTCCAGAACCCCAGTCTCTTTGCCTGTACAATGGACTCACTCTCTGGGAAGGACGCGGCGGCCTGTGGTTGGAAAGAGCACATTGGGGGCCGTGAGGGCGGGCGTCTCTGGTGACTTCTTGCTTTGGACGACAGGTTGGAGGGTGTCCCAGCCCCCAGGGCAGCAGGGATGCCCAGCGCAAAGCATGCCGCGTCCTGAAGTGGGTGGCCCAGCTCTCCAGCTCATGGGACCAGGGTTGGGCCACAGGAAGGGCTGAGGGCTGTAAGGACGGAGGTTCCATCCAGAGCCCGAAGCCCCTCAGCAGGGACGTGGAAGGACCAGGCAGGAACTCGCGGAGCCGCTGATTGTACTCACACATTTTCCTGTTGGGTAAACTGAGTCCTGGGCAAGTACCAAGAACCTGCCCCAGGATTCTGAGACCTGGGGGAAGGATGCAGGGTTGGAACTGGGGGCTGGGGCTAGGCCTGAGTTGGTAGAGAGCTCCATTGGATATAGGAAACCCTGGGTTTCCTCCCAGCACCGCATAACCAGGGGATGCCGACAGGAGTTCAGGGTCA